TTCACTACTTTTTCCTCCCTTTTCAAAATCCACAGACGGATCAGGAGCTGCTATTGTTTGGGTACATGCCCCCATTCACCAAACCATTAGGGTGTTTTATAAAGCATTAGCTTGATTCCCTTCCAACATTCCATTCTAACATTCTATCTTCTCTACTTCCACTACAAGCATAATAAGTTTCAGTAATCAACAGTTCTTGCTTTTGTCTGTATGTGCTACAAGAAAATATGCCGCATCATGAGTGGCAAATCAGTCACCACCAAATTCTGTCAAAACACATGTCAGACTTACCTAGGTAAATATTTTATTATTAGTCACTTTTTGCTGATGCTTGACTATTAAATACAAACCAATAATTTACCTTACTGAATTATGCAGTTTTATCTGACTTTACTATTCTAATATCACAGCACTCTGAAACTGCAATACTCCACAGTTAATTATTTCCTTTCAGAAACAGTGTACACATATACAAAGGAACTCACAAACTGAATCTGAAAGCAAAAAGAAGAAGAAGTAGTAGTCTCAAACTCTTCTGAAACTGTCCTAAGGTTTCAGCATCAAAAATGAATACTGGCAATAATGTATGGTCCATGTCTCAAGGGCAGAATTGTAATGATACATCCAGTTCTCACAACTAGAAGCAAAGTGCTAGAGGCCATATTGTCTGCCTTAATCTCCCTTTTCCCAAGCATTTTTTGTGTGCACGGCTCAAGTGCTTCTCAGCAAAACACAGATGGCTTCAGGAACACAGTTGAGTTCCACAATAACCCACTGAAATAGTGACAGCGAAATTGGCACTAAAGCAAACAATAGATTAAAGCAGGAAATAAAATAAAGGTTCGTGCAATTTTATGCAATGCTTAAGTATTTTGGGCTAACTATGGCAGGGATATTTAGACTACAGTCAGCTAAAAATAAAATGCAATGTTTTGCATTTTGATAAGTTCTTTGATAGAAAGAGAACATTCAGATAATAAAATGCTGGTTCCTTCATCTGATGACAAGATTTTTGGAATAATTCTGCTGATTTTATTGCATCTTCCAAAGTAGGAATACTCAGAAATCTTCATTCTTAGTTGCAAAGAAATCCCATATTTTCAGTGACCATCAGTCTTCCATGAAGAAGACTATTCAATCCTAAACAGAGTTCAATGCACTTTAATGGGCTTAGAAGGATGGACAATTAATAGTACTTACAGATAAAAATCTGGAGAGTTACATTAATGCCTGGATAATCATACTGTTGGGGGAGGAAATTAGATAAAACATTAAAGATAGTTCAGTCTGAACAAGAATCTTTCTTATGGCTGAGATGTGAGAACCTTTAATCCTCTAAATAAATGCTCAGGATGCATAAGCAAACTCAATAAATTTTCAGTAGCTGAGCAAAGAAATGCACAGTTTATTATCTTATTTATTTAATTAATTCATTTATACCCCACTTTTCTCCCCAATGGGGACCCAAAACGGCTTACATCATTCTCTTCTCCTCCATTTTACCCTTACAGCAATCCTGTGAGGTAGTTTAGGCTGAGACAGTGTGACTGGTCCAAGATCACCCAGTGAGCTTCCATAGCATGAGTTGGGATTTGAACCTGGGACTTCCAGATACTAGTTCAACACTCTTCACTGCTACACCACACTGGCTCTCAGTTGGGGAAAGACTTTTTAAATTTATTTTTTTATTTCTATTCCACCTTGCCTCCTTGGACTATTAAATTTCATTGGCTATAAGTCTATATATTTCCAAAATATGATTGGGAATAGGAGTTTGGATCTTACCGGCTATTTTTGCTACACAAGAGGAAGAACAGCATAGCCACAAAAAGCTGCATGGGATGGGCTGCAGTTAGTTGAGGAACTGCATGATTGCCCCTTGGAAAAATTCATCCAACCCATGATATGTTCTGTCTTTATCCTTTATAAGATCACAGAGATTGTTATTTACTGGGACTTTAAACAGTCTATCAGGATATGGCAGTTCCACAAAGAGCTTGCAAATTCCTACCTGATGATTATTTGATTATCTACAGGGTGACAGAGTTTACAATTGCATCTGAGAAAATTAGGAGCAAATTTGTGTAGCCCACTGCAGTCTCTTGCATTATATACCATATGACAGAAAGCAAATAGTGTTTCAGGAAAAAAGATACAATAATTCTGGTAAAAAAACCAACCCAAACCAGTAAAAGATTTAGGGGATTCCTTTTTCTGGATTAGAGATCCAAATTTGGCTGAAGCTAAGCTTTGAGAAAACATTGTTATTCTCTCTGTGAGCACCTCACCATGCAATGCAAATATAAGTCATTTTCACTGCTGCAGATGGCACAGAGACTAACAGAAAAGAACCCTGCATAATGCAGACAATGCTGAGTGTCTCATTTGGGAAAAAATGAACCTGGAAACATTCCCAGATTATACATCTGCCTCCAAGTTACACTTTAGAAAAAGAGGCCAAACAGCAATGACGTGGAGGATTAATGACTTATTCTTTCTACTCCAGCTCCAACTGATCTTCTCACTTCACTCCTATAGCAACTTCAACTAAGCTAAAGGTGCTGAATGAAACCAATACAAGGATCAACAACCTTTTAAAATAGGAGGAAATAGGAGGCTGTATCATCAAAGTATAAATAAAAAGAGGTAGGTACTGAATGTTTTCTGGACAGTACAGATTCCAATACACCTCTGTGTACTTCTACCCTTTGTAATATTTCCAGTTCATTTTAACATACTTACCATATACAGTAGTCTTATTTCTGACATCAGTTGGTGCAATGACAAAAAGGCTTTTAACAAGTTATTAAACATTACTTACTTTTTAAATAAGAAGGCAAAAACTCAGTCAACAAATTCTGCAAACATTAAAACACTTCTGAATTTCCACTCCTTTTCTGAAACCAAACACCACTTACCATGATTGTAGAATTCTGCCTTTGAATTCTGCTGGGAACATAGGACTACCCAATTAGTTTAGATCTCTTAATTCTTCTGCAGAGTTTAGTGGGAATCCTTTAGCTTTTCAATACATCTTCATAGTATTCATGTTTTAGGACTATGGGTCCTAAGAGTCATACTGAAAGAATTTTCCTTGGAATCTGGTTCCAGGAAATAAAGCTAACCTAAGATTGTGTCACAAAAGTTTCATTAATTTATGTTAGGCATATAAGAGGCTAGAAGTAATGAGTCTTGAACAGAAAACATTTCAAAAGAATCAAAGGTAATTTATTTTAGTACACATTTTTTGCAGTCCAAAGTGGAGTATTTACTTAAAGCCAAAATTAACTGCTATTTTGTTTAGTGCCAGATATGCCAATTTTAAAAGCTGTCTGATTCAAATACCCCCATTTTTACTTTTCCGTTGTAAGAAACAAACCTGTGAGTCTTTGCTTTTGCACCAGTTCCTTGTTCCTCATGGTGATTTTTCCCGTTTAACGTTTAAAAAATTACTACTTACTTGCATATAAATGGTATATATTTATTTATGGCACAAAAAATCAAAAGAATCATCAATGATAGCATCAAAAATGGGGCTAATGAAAAATGTTTAATAGGAATCTCTCTCACCCTTTACTAGCAGCATGTGGGAGACTGGACATAGTGGCAGAGCAAAGCAGCATCAATGCTGGGACAGAAGTACATTTACCAGGAAAGTCAGGGTTTAAACAGAGTCCTAGCCTCCCAGCCTCACTACAATTCCACACTTACGTAACCCTGTATTATAATATTTTCTGGCATATTTTGTATGGAATTTGCTGGTTGCTGGCTGATAGGGCTTGTGAGGAACTTTTGCCAGGAGCCCAGAGCGGCTTGGGGATGTGTACTCATTCCACAGAATGGGGATGCTTATGTCCGGCCTACTGTAATTTTCTTATTGCAAGTGTTGTTTTCACAACAGGCAAGAACAGAGAATGGGAAGAGCTATGTATAATTCACTGAATAATGATTCTCAAATTCTCATCCCCCCCCTAATATTCTACCTAACAACTGAGCATCACTGTCTTACCCTTCTCAAGTTCCAGCCCATTAGCTGTCAAGCAACCTGTGGTAATGGTTAATCTTAATAAAGCTGCAGCCTGCTTTTCACACATTTCTCCTTCCTTTCCCTTTATGAATGCAACAATCTATACACAGTTTACCTTTCTTTCAAATTCACCATCTTTAATTAAACAATTATATAACGGCTACTAAGTGGTTTCTGATAGTATAGTAACCATCATGGCATAGCAGTAAAGGACTGGACCAAATTACTTGTAAATATATTTTTTCCCCTCTCAGTCCTTCTTTTTTCATGTAAATCTAATCCTTCAAAGCCAGGAAAACAATGCTCAGAACTTCTTATAAGGAACACTCTTTTTTAACTAAGATACAATCTCAGTTAAAGCAATGCATTTGACAGATACAGTAGAATATTTGTAGTCAATGAATTAAATGAATCCATCAACTCATTCACTTAGAAATACCTTCATAGTTCAGATAGTAAGACAGATTCAGTATGGAATCAACAAAATATTTTGTATGGAGAACACCCAAAGGTGCAATCATACATTGGCCCCGGTCACACGGCAAAGTTGCCGCGGGAGAGGCACGGATGGTGGGCGGATTATCTGGGCACGATCACACCCCAACATCTGGGAAGTGGAGCGCACCAGTGGCTTACCGCCGACAATGCGCATTAAAAAACTAGTACCTCAAAGGTACTAGTAAACATTTGCCACGGGCTGCCTCCAGACGCCCGTGGTGTGATTGCACCGGCGTGCAGCATTCCCCTCCGGTCCCTCGTTTACTTGCCGGCGCCGAGGGAAGGACCTGTGGTGTGCCGCCAGCACGTCTGATCACGTAATCGCGGATCAAACTGCGCCGTGGCAATTATCCACACCTCCCCCCTGCGATATCCGGCCCGTGTGACAGGGGCCATTATAAACCAAATGTTAATGGGGATTGTTGTAGACAAACCAATGTTGTTGTTTACAAACCAATATAAAGAAGTTACTTACGCTTGTAGTTCCCGATACATCTGGTTAACTTTTTCCCACTGATATGAAAGCTGAGTCAGCTTTTCCTGTATCCGTGCAGCTTCTGCAGGGGTGGCACTTTTCATAACTGCTGTCTTCTTACAGCGAACAACTTCAATCTGACCTGAGTGTCTCCCAAGACTATCTTTGATTTTCTGAAAATCCACATTAAATGTCAAAAACAAAAGATAGAAACAGAATATTACAAAGACGAAGTAATCGACAAAAATTGTAATAGAAGCAGAAAACTGTCAGCAATTGATAAAGAATATGTATAAACCCTGAACAATTTGACAGCGCAAAAAAGTAGGTTAGTGGTGTGGAAAGGAATGGATTGTGGATGGGCCTTGGGACAGCAACAGACGTCTGGTATGAAGGAAAGGAATGAAGAGGTTTTTTTGGGGGGAGGGGAGATGGCTGTAGTACAGATGACATTTAACATTATGTCCAGCCTACGGTAATTTTCTTATTGCAAGTGTTGAAATTTTAAAGTTTGCTTAAGGTGACATAACAGCTCAAAATTTTGTAATCATATGCCTTGTATTTCTGTGGACAGAGTCGATTATGGGTCTAGAGCTCCAACTGAAACCATGACATGGGTTAAAACTAGAGACCTGCTAGTTAAGAATAACTGAAGGCTTGAAATGAGGCATTAAGCTTTGCCAACCCAGTCACATTTCTTTATCTTGAGTTTTCAGTCACCTTGTCTGATGCCACAGTTTTTGATAAACTTTGCATTCCCATTTCTTTACCTTACTTACATACTTTATTTAGAAATTTTGGACAATTCTGACATTTCAGGCAGAGATGAAAGTCTCAGAGTGATCGTTCCTTGCTGTAGGCACCACCTATTGAAGATTGCTCTACTCCCTCGTCAGCCACATTGAGACAATGGGCAGAAGCAAGATAGATTAACTATCTACCCCATTCCTCTGGCCCAGAGTTTAAGATTAAAAGTTCTGAGCAGGCAGTAAATTTAATATTTCCTTTCTAGGCCCTGCAGTGTTATCACAGGCAGACCATCTCTGAGCCTGCTAATTGAGAGCAGCCTGCACAACCATACTACAGCCATACAAGCCATAAATAATGCTGAAAGCCAATATATACTAAAGTGGTGTGCATGAACAGTATGTGCCATTTTGGTGTTTGTAATTATAGCCTGGATAAAGTATATTCTTCAAAAGTCTATAAGGCCAACACTGCTGAAACAACTGGAAGGAATGGAAACAGCATCTGCATTGTGTTTGACGCAGCTTCTGCCAACTTGTATTGCTGAAATTTCTTTTACTTTTTTTTAAAAAAAAGAATGCAAACCACATTGATGACATTTGAGTGTTAAAACAACAAATTTATTTATGTAATTTATTTATACCCTGGCTTTCTCCCCAATGGAGACTCCAAGTAGCTTACTGTGTAGTGATCCCTACTCTGTAGGGAAGGGTGGGCTATGAATTTAATTTAATAAATAAAAAAATAAAAATGACATCATTCTTTCCTCCATGTTATCCTCACAACAACCCTGTGAAGGAGGTTAGGCTGAGAGAGTATGACTGGCCCAAGGTCCCAGTGAGCTTCCATGGCATGAATGGGGATTCGAACCTGGGTCTTCCAGATACTAGTCCAGCACTCTTAACCACTACACAATTGATTGTCACTTCCATGTATTTTTCTGTAGAACAGCTCCTGTATCCAAAATAAGGACTGGTATTTACGTTGTTCGCATAAGAAAGGTAGGTTGGATCACACAGAAGCAGCAGCTTAGAAAAGTCTCAAAGTTTTTTACCCCTGACATCAGAACCAAGCTATATCATGTTATGGCTTTTTTGCACATTTGCCACAGGGACTTGCAGCATATTTGCAGCCCTGGTGGCCTTTATAAGGACAGAAAGGCAGAATATAAATTTTATTTATTTTATAATTAAAATGTTATTTATTTTATAATTAAAATTTTGTAAACAAATGCACCAGCACAGACTGTCTGGATTCTAATCATGGGAAAGGCAGGGGCAGGGGGATGGGCTCCTGCTGTTCTTTTCCCATACTGTTTCAGCCAAAGTGACCTGGGGCTGTGGAAGCAGACATTATTTGCCCTTTCAGGAGGCTGCATATGCAATTAAGGCCCCCTTTTAAAGCTGTACCAAAAGAAACACGCAGCGGCAGGATCAGATAGATTCCCTGAGCCGCCGTGCAGTTGCTCCCTGGCACGATCAGATGCCGGGGGGAAGCCACTGCAGGGAGAGCGAGGCAGCCGAACTGTGCATGTGTGCACGTGCGCAGTTTGGCCGGGAGCCTCGATTGCTCCTGCAGATGGGGGAGCCGGCGATCTCACGGCCGCACTTGCTGCGCCGTTCCAGGTTGGTGCTACCTTTTACTTGGGGTTTTTTTGCAGCGGGTTTTAGGCCGGAAGGGACGGATTGGGGACGGGTGCACGCCGATTCCCAGATGTTGCGGTGTGCTCGCGCCCGTTTGCTGCATCCCCGATCCGTCCCTCTTCCGGCCCAAAACTTCCCGTGTGACCGGGGCCTAATACTTGCATTTGCAGCTTCCTCATGTGGCAAATAACACCTGCTCTTGCAGTCCCCAAATAATTTCAGCTGCTGAAAATGTCCAGGAGGAAGGCCTGTAGCCATGGTGTGCAAAAAGGTGCAGTTCCCCATCAATCATTTGTCATGCTCCTCCAATCAGCATTAGGGGTTGGTGTAAATTCTGTCAGTCTTTCAGGTGTAAATTTTCTATGTAGAAAAAGAAGGAATTGAGGTTAAAAGTGTGATTCCTGTCATAAATTTTCAAAGAATAAATTCTCCATGCAATTGGCTAGAACAGAAATAGCAGTTAGTAGGGCTGAAGAGTCTTCATTTTAAAGGCCTGCAGGGGTGAGTCCTGTAGAACTCTTATTGCTGAGGAAATTATTTTTGACAAAATAGGAGACAAATAATAAGGAATTTAGGTTCAGAGGTAAGTGAGCACAAATCTTTTTTTTGCTAATACCCACAGGAATCCTCAACCTTTCCTTCCTCAACCATTCCATTACCCCACAGCCCTATTACCTTTATTAAAATGCACTCTTGAACTATTCTGTTTTATGTAGTTAGCAGAATGACAAAAATGTGGAAGCTTTCCTGACTTCCTCAGAAAGGCTATTCCACAAATGGGAGCCACAAGAGAAAATATGTGCGTATGGGCAGTTGCTGTTCTTTCCCATTTGTTGGATGGCACCCTTAGAAGCCTTGAGTTGGTGATTTACAGAGAAAAAAAGGTTGAATTCAAGTTACTGAAACCTCAAACTGTAAATTCAACCTTTTTTTCTCTGTAAATCATGACATGATAGAAGTCACGAGTAGACAAGAACTGTCACAGCTCATTAGAAGACATTTTAAAGAATTTGACTATGAGAGCACATCGATTAGAGCCCGCAGAATGTGCTCAACCTTTTCAGTAGGCATTCAGCCTCCAACAGCAATGCCAAACTACTTATCTGAGATAATTCTTCCAAGTATAGAAGGGCATTCATGTTAGCATGCTTGAATGCCCTACCTTCAGTTGTGATGTCTGGAAGATTTAATGGGAATTCATACTTAGATCAATTCTGTAATTGTGGCAGCAGTAAACTTAACTCTGGCCCCGGTCACACGGGCCAAATATCATGTGGGGGGGATGCGTGGCTGTTCCCCCTGGAGCAAAATAAAGTGTAGTAGCCCGATCACATAGTCCCCCGAGTCTGTGCCCTTAGGCTGTTAGCTGGCTATCACACAGCAATGCTGGAGCGTGGCAAAGAAGCGGTGCAGCAAGCGTTTGTGCAAATGTGCAGTTCTGCAGAGCAGCACTGATTTCAGTTACGTGTTTGTGTGCATGCGGTTATGAAAAACATCCAGTTTGCGATGGGATGTGGACGGGCGCCAGATGCCACAGGATACTAGCGCTCCCGCGATCAGACACCCGCCCCTGCCCCGCATTTTCTGGATACTAGTGCACTTTCTGAGGTACTTTTTCACTGCGCATCTTCAGCGGGATGCCATGGGTTGGCCATGGGTGCACTACGCTTCCCAGATGTTGCGGTGTGATCCCGCCCCCAAAATCTGCCTGACATTCATGCCTTTAGCATGGCAAATCCTCCGTGTGACTGGGGCATCTGTAGATCATATTTTGCTTGATTGTCCCAAATTTTCAGCTCTAAAAGATGAACTAATCTCCCCTTTATTTAATCAGGACTTTCTCTCTCCAGAAGCACAATTATTAGTTAGAGACGAAGACAAACTACTCTGCATGTGGCAAAATTTATAGCAGCTGTTGTCAAATCACATGACAATTTTTGTAGTAGCAACCTTTAAATTCTTCCATGTTTTCCTGTGGAAGGAGGTTAATTGGGGATGAGGGTTTGCTGTTTATGACTCTGGTTGCAAAAAACAGTAAAGACAATAAATAAATAAATAAAATAAGGGCCTTTTGGTAATTCTCAGTAGAAGTTCAAAGCTTATTTGATGAGGGATAGAGATTTGCTTATTGTGATGAGAACCCTATACACACACACATGTATATATACTACAACATTTTTCTTATAGCTTTAAAAATGACAACAAACTGAAGACTTTAGGATAAAGTTTTGTGGTGGCAGTAATTAGAAAGTATGATAATTAAAATATAAAACCCTGAGAGCTGAAAAATTAGTCTGGCTCCTACATTTTTGGGGTGGTTAGTAAAGCCAAGGAAAATTTGTCAAAACTTGGTCTGGTTTGGCTCTCAGTGACAGTCACACAAAGCATGCCATGCTGCAGTCCCATGAACTGCTGACAGCCCAAATCCCAGTGAGCTTTAAGCAGCCCACTTAAGTGCTCGATTACAACTTTAGCATTCTACAGCTATAGCATGCCTAAGAAATACGTCTTGGAGAGTTGTCTACTGGGGAAAAACCTTTTATCTATCTATCTATCTATCTATCTATCTATCTATCTATCTATCTATCTATCTATCTATCCATCTATCTATCTTACTCCTTTTTTATTGAACTCCCAGTAGTTTTCTCTGTAAGGCGTTGATCAGTTCTACACATTCGTAGATTAAGTAATGAGTATGCCCCAAGCCCCCACTAATTAAGCTTAATGAAATGGGACACATCAAAGGTGTGTATGCTTTTGTGTTGGTTTGTTTTATGTCAAGG